CCTTGCCAAGTACTGTGGGGGACCTGTTTCGGCAGGTCCCCAAAGGAAATGGATCATCGGCCTTCGGGTTGGTGGTCCAAAGTATCTCAACCCCTGTCAGGAGCCTTGCGCCCCGGGGGGTCGGGAAGTAGGTCCCTTCTTTGGAAGGACCTTGCACCCTTGTGCACGTTTTTGTGTGCTGTGATTTCACGGTTCACTTTTTTTGTTCACAGGGGGAAGTTTGTTTAGATGCACGTCCACGGGCTTCGATAAAAAAAAAAAAAGAGCAATAAAAAGCAATAAAGAGTGTTTGGAATTCTAAAAATGTTCCATTAACCCAAATGATTCTGTGAAGCAGACACAGATTTGTTGGTATAGTGTACATTGTAACCAAGCCAGCACTGAAAACAAGACGTCATGATCCTTCTACATGTGCAGTCTGCCTCCACAAATAGCTTCTGGAATAGCATGGGATAATGGAGGGCTTACCTAATCATAAAACTGGACTCCAGGCAGATGTAAAAGACACAAATGAAGCTGTATTCATTAATACATCATTAAAAGTATTTTTGCTGATGCAAACAATTTAAGTACTTCAGTTTGACTTGATATTAAACATTTGCAGTCCCTGTAAAACAGAGTTAAGACTGAAAGAGGGGAAAGCAGCACAAAGAGCCAGTCAGTTGTGCTGCAGTGATTCTGTGCTAATGAAGAAACATGCTGATAGGAGGAGAGAGCAAAGTGACACTGAGATGAACTCATCAGTCTGCTACTTCTCCTTTCATCGCCCCTGGGGGACAAACAACCTGTTCTGTAACTGGACCAGAGAAAAATAAGGTTGCCTGCCAGAGAGGACTGTGCTTCATGACAGTTGTGTAAATCTCAAGAGTGAATGGACAGAAATGCAAATCTTTTGGCAGATAAAACAACTTCCATTGTATTTTTAGCCGTTTGTCTAGAGATCAGCATTAAACACATTTAATAGTGGACATCTGTGAAGTGGAAGGGATGGGAGCTACACACTGTACTAACCTGTTTGCTTCGTATTTCCATATGAACTTAAGAGTGCAGGGGTCAGGAGTATATAATGTACTTAGAGTTCTATATAGTCCTGGGCTCAGAAGGGTGTATTACATCAAGCTCTGGGCTCAGAACTGTGTATCAAAGTCTGTAGGGCTTATGAGCGCATATCGGACAGAGTACAGCAGTCAGGATTGCATATAGTACAAGGTGCTGGCGTCAGGAGTAGGTAACACACAGGCCAGTGTACAACCAAAAATTCCCCCCCCCCTT